TATGAAAAATCATTTTTATATAACTTTGAATAATAAGAATAGGAATAAATTTGAACATAAAAAAAATAATTTTTCATTGTTTTAATTGAATTTTTAAGTTTTCAACGTCTTTGATTACCAATAACAAAGTGGAAAATCAAAATTTCTTACTTTTTCCAATGGGAATCCTTTTTGAAGGCTTTCAAGAAAAGCTCCAAGAAGTGAACAAAATTTGAGGTTGTGATTTTTTTTTTCAATAATGATATTTAATAGGTTATAATAATTTTTATTGTTCAAAGGTCAGTATCGGTCAGCGCGTACGGGACGCGCAAAGCCCGCTTTTAGCGCTATTTTCGCCTCTAAATTAAAATTATAAATATTGGTGAGATATGACTTTATTTTAGGATATTTCCTCCTCTTTAAGGATCCTTTTTCAGAATTTGGATCTTTAATATTTTCCAAGATATTTGCAAAAAACCAAACCCCCTTTTTTTTACTAAATTGTTTATAACTTTTGCAATGTTCTCGAGCCCCTCTGAGAAATTTCTCAAGAAGTTGCTAGAGGTCATTGGACAGAAGTTGCAAAAAAAGATCTTTCGACCCAGACTACTATAACACGTTGTAAATGCTACATCCATCAATTTATTATAAGTATACGAATGCGTATCTTACCGGTGATTTTAAACATATTGGTATTATTTTATTTGCAGAATGATAGTCAGAATATGCAATTTCTTGACTTATTTCATTTCAGCAAACTAATGATTTCACAGGCCAAGCGAAAATATAATTTTAGCAACTATGTAGCGATTGCAATAGCATTGACCTGTTTAAACAAGTTCACCAACCTTGATGAGAATACCGGATGTTCAACGATTTTTTTCAACGTCGGCGATGGTCTTTCCAACTAATTGCGGCTTATTATCATGTTCGGTTCATATTCATCGAACAGTCCATGTATAATTGCTCTCGAATATGTATTACGAATTAAATCTTCTACGATAGGAGGAAATAAGTCGAAATTGATATCGCAGATGACGAGCGGAAGAATCTTACAGCATTTTAAATAATTTGTTCTAATCGTTTTATTTTTCGAAGGAAATCATGTTTTGAACTCGAAAAAGTCGAAGGTTGGAAATTTGGTGGAGATGATAAATTATTTTTATTATTTCTAGACAATACACTGACTTGTTTTGAAATTTTCTATTTGGTTCAAGTTGATTATTAAAAATAAATTCTATATGACTTTGAATATCAAATTGAAAATACAGTCTTCAGGTGTGTTTTGATTTCTCTCGTTGAAATATGTATTCAGGTTGAATCACTAGTCTGTGGATGCTTTCAAAATTGTTGTACATTTTCCAAATTGGTCAATTGTGGTGTGCTTTCTATTGACTTTACCATAAAAAACAACTCACATGAAAACGTTGCCGTGCTTGTATAGTTTACTCCAATCAATCCAAAACTCTCCTGCACAACAATTGGCAAAAATTATGCGAATCAACGTGATATTTCAAAATTTCAACACAACACCTAGGCTAAGAACGAAAACGCGTTATTTTATACCACGTTTGTAAAATGATTTATCTTCTGCCTCAAAATAGGCCTCAGTTTTAGCAATCACCTCTTCATTCGAGGGAAATTTCTTACTGGTAAGCATTTTTTTGAGGTCAGTAGTCGCTGGGAGCCAAATCTGGCGAATACGGTGGATGTGGGAGCAATTCAAAACTCCGTTCATGTAGTTTTGCCATCGTTTTGATTTGACTTGTGACACGATGCGTTGTCTTGATGAAACACTTTATTTTTCTTTGCCATATGTGGTAGTTTTTTTGCAATTTCGCCATAAAAACGCTCAAATGATGCTACATAATATTCACTATTGATGGTATTTCCCTTCTCAAGATAATCGACGCATACCACGGCCATAACCTTTCAAGCCGATGGTTGTGGTTTTGGACGAGATTCACCAGTTGTTTTTCACACAGATGACAATTAGTCTGGGTCACAAAACCTTTTTTTGGAACTTCTGTCCAAGAGCACCGAAAATTATGATCTAGGGCTGGCTCATTCGATTTGGAATGACCTCTAGCAATTTTTTGAAAAACTTCAAGGAGGACTCGAAAAAATTGCAAAAGTTATAAACAATAAAAATATCCTTAAAGAGGAGGAAATTTACTAAAAAAAATCTCACGTCCCGGAACTCTGTCACTAATATTTATAATTTTAATTTAGAAGCGAAAATAGCGCTAAAAGCGGGCGATGCGCATTCAGCACATGCTGACCGATACGGACCTTTAATAATACTATGATGACACATAATAACACAAGAATAAATCTGAACAAAACGTTTAGGCCAAGAAGGCTTCTATATGATCAAATAACAGTTCAGGTACCCAAGGGTAAGTATTACATTTTGAAGTTTTACGACTGGCAAGTACATTTTCAGAAAGTTTGCACAAATTACTGCAATAAAATAAGTTTCTTAATGGTTGGGTATTAGCTCAAATTGAATTAAGTAAATTTCCTATTGTTGGGGAGCACAGAATCCTCTGGATGATGGTCATTTTATGATTCATTATCAACTTTTCTATGTGACTCCTTAAGTGGTAATTTTTATCTTGAGACTATCTATTTTTGAAAATTTCATCATAATAAATATAGTTTTTAAAACTAAAGAACACGCTTTTGAAAAACATCTAACTCACAATAATACTAGTATTTTTTGTTTGTTATTTTTTTAAGCTTATTTAAAAAAAATATTTTAAACTTTTTAGTTCGATATTCTTTAAAAGCGTGTTTTTTTAGTTTTTTAAACTCTATTTATTTTTCATTTTTTAGTTTCGTATGCTTTAAAAACGTGTTTCTTTAGTCTTTTTAAACTATTTTTATTTTATCTAAACTCTGGGATCAATCAGCCGTATATTGTTCAGAAAAATGACCATTGATATTTTCCGATTCCGGAGAGGGAGCCTGAAAATCAGCTACCAAGCCCAAGGAAGGCAGCAGGCGCGCGAGTTAATAAAAAAAATACTTTTTTCACATGAAAAAAAATACTTTTTTCAAATGAAAAAATACATGTGAAGTGAGTTTGAATCAAGGAGGTAACGTACAGCGCCATCTGCCAGCGAATAGATGAAGCAATAATGTCGATAATTCTGTCAAATACAGATCCCGAGCATTCAAACTTGGAAAAAGGGTTACAAACAAACATACATACAGGTGAAGCTAATATAAGCGCGTAAAAAACCTAACCCATATGACCTAGCCTAGGAAGTTGAAGAGAAAAACAGACTTGAGACTACAGAAAAACATAGACTTTCACGTCCGGAGTCGAATGGACCCAGTAGTACCAAACGTTTCGTCTGATATTGCGACATACTTCAGTGGTAACTGCGTTGATTGTGAAGACATAGGTAATATCTCGAAGACTCAGCAATTGAGTCATTTTCGTTTCTTCTATGACTGTTCTCCAAGGCGCAAATGGCGACACAAGGTTTTTCTGGTCCACGAAATTGTAATGTGTGTCGGTGTTCTTTGAAATGAATTTCAATAGTTCGTCTTGTCTGGCCAATATGCCAATGAGAAGAAAAGAAGAGAAAAATTTAAGTATATAGTCCTGCCTTCTAAAGTAATCTTGTATGTTGTCGATGAAGTGTAATGTAATAAAATCATCTCTTTTCGATTATCCAAAAATAAACGAACCACAAATAATCACTTCACTGCACGACTGATAAAACTCACTGTTTCTAATCGATCATCATAAACATGAACACGAGTTATATTTCAAGATTTGTACAAATAATTGTCTTAATGATCCCGTAAAGGGTTATATTGTTCAGGTGAATTTTACTTTACATGTTTGCGAAATTTGACAATTGAGCTCCAAATCTACAGCAAATGTCGGATAATAAGAGTAGGGTTTTCTTTAAATTAAAAAATGAAAAGTCGAGATATTTCAAGCCAAGTTACTTCACGACATTTCGATTGTTAGTGTCTACAATCGTCTTCGGGTGATGACTGGACTGATTTCTCCGAGAGGTGACTATTTATGAGTCATTCGAGTACATTCACTCATCACTTATCTCCACTTTCCTTTTTCCGCTTCACGGGTTTAGTGGGAGATGACTGTTTGGAGTGAGTTGGCGATTTTTTGCTTGATTATGGGTTTTCATATGTTGCGTATCTCTACGCTAGCTTGGCTGAATACATTATTGGATGTTTGCGGCTTCTTTGATTTTTCTCCTAAACTCTGTGTAGGATCTCAGCTTGGGACCACTCGATGTTATGTTGATAGGTCCAAACATGCTCTACAATTTCTGATTTGCTGGTTTCCCCTCGCTGTGTGTGTTTCTTGTACTCGGCAATGCGAATGTTCAATTGCCTTTCATTTATATAAAATCAACTTACCCCATTTTCGTTCCCTAAAAATTTGATGGTCGGTTTGTGATTGAATTTGTTCTGAAACAAAAAAATGTGTTATTTACCAAAAAAATATAAAATTTCACTGATAATATAATAATAAATGTCACATAATAATAATTCATTGAAACTTCATTATCTAAAAATATTAAAATTCAAAAAACACTGTTTTTTATCCAAATAGGGATTTCATCTTAGTCGTCTTCTTAATAAATTCGAAGTGTGAAAAACAGTACTCCCTTTTAACTTTCGAACGGGACAAAATTTACGTTAAATGGTAAACAATCGACTCATCGGAGTTATTTCAAACCATATAATGATTTGAAAAATTAGCAAACAATTTGCAGAATGTGTATGATTGCAATAAATGAATAATTTTGTTTCATCCTCTGTCATGTACAAATGAGTAGTGTTTTCAGAAATATAGTACCTTAACCATTTAATCCTGTATGATAAAACAAAACAGGGACTAAAGGTAATTATTACCTGCATAACAGATATAATTCGACTTTGTTTGCAAATAGTCTAACAAAAATCCACTTTAATCCCTTTCAAGTATCTGCCTGGTGGCGTTATCATTCAGGATCAAATTTCCAATTCGATATATCTGTTAAAACACTCAATGACTCTTTGGATCCAATGCTATGAAACGGTTGTATCGCAGCTCATTCAAGTTTTTAGCAGTTATGGCACCAAACATTGTGAGAATACAAATGAAATCTTCAATAAAAAAAGCATATTCACTTCGTTCCCCGATCATAAAAGTTTCAGTTAACGTACGTAACTTTCTAATAATTATTGAATATTTCATGAAATAATTTTCCTTTCACTATAAAAAGCTGAAAGTGTTGCATACACTGAATGGAGAAGAGATGATCTTGTAACGAATCTGAAACCGTCCCTGACCGATATGTCCGCCAGCGAACAAACACACGAGATCACCGCAAAAGGAATGCAGTCGGCAACCGCCGATTAAACTCTAGTTGAGTACCGAAACGACTATAGAATTTTAGAATGATCGTTACCGATATGTAAGGCCGGCTTCTCGGCAGTTGAGTTCAGAAAGCGAATCGAGCGGTTAAACAAAGAATTCAAATAGTGGAGATAAATTAAGCATTAGTTGCTAAGTGTTGAATATAAATTATTAGTGTGTGATTAGTGAAATATTGTTAGAAATGAATTTGTTTGAGATGGTTAATTCTTTAATTTGTTACAATCTGTTGGAAATTTCATTTCATAGGTCCTCCCGAATAAACTTGTTGTAAGGCAATATTTTTGAGTGGTTTGTCAAAGTATTTCTTTTATCATCGAGTGCTAAAGCCATGGATACCACTTACACATCCTCAGCTACAATTACATCAGGGAAGCTGATCGTATAATTGAATAATCCGCATCACTTTCTGCTTGACTCCAATCAAATTTGTAGATAAAACTAATCTATTTTTATTTTTACCGTTTTCTAACAATTTCTCTTTATTTATTTTTCGAGACGCGATTTCTCTCAGATGATTCTGTTTCTTCTAGCATTATTATATCCATCAAAAACAACTTTAATGTTGGTGTACTAGTTATTACATAAATATATGATGTAGGTTCTGTTGCTACACTAATTGATCTAATTTTTTTTTCAAAAAAGGCCACTCAAAACTGAATTATATAAGTATCATACATATTGTTTGAACAATATAAAAAAATTTACCCCCGATTTAAAAGGTTTCAGATTGTAGGTAATATAAATACCCAAAATAGAAACAAAAACATGAAATCCAACGTGTTTCTAATAGGACAAAAACACTTTGTTGATTAGACCATATTATCCATAGTGTCCGACCAAAAGTTCCGTTTCGGTAGAGTTTCGGCAAAAAACGGGTTTCGGTTTCGGCGGCAAACCTGTTTAAACTACGACCGAAACCGAAACTGAATTCGGGAGTTCTCGCGCTGTGATCGGTCATTTTCGGCGCGTTGAATTTCATACGTCATACAAGTGACGAAGACATTTTGCCGCGTCCACATGCCTAATCATGTCGTGACGTACTTTGTGATTTACTTTGTTTATGACATAACTAACTATTAAGTACCTATTGTGATATTAGGTAACAACGTAAATAAGTATTTTATAAATCTAAAGTAGGTTGAATGGACTGACGCCTATCAGAAAACAACTACTCCCCTGGTTAATACCACGACGGGCGTTGGATTATATCCGACAGGCGTCAAGTGCAGGAATCTTCGCAGAAAATTTCCTGCATATGTAATTGGCAATAAAACTGAAAGAGTTGACCTTCAATTTTGGAACGGGCACACTTGCAGACCGGTTTCGGGCTCATTAGCCACTTGTCAATTCGAGATAGTGGCCATCATCGACCTAAAGTCGATGATATTACATAATTGAAAATCGGAATTTTTTCAGAGTATTTCATTTCTCTTCTGCCAGGGAAGTAGTTGTTTTCTGATAGGCGTTAGTCCATTCAACCTACTGTGTAGATATATCCGAGACTGCCTTGAACGTTTAAAGTTCATTTCTTAAGATTTGTTTACTACCAGTCTTCAAGCATAACCCACTTGCTAATAAGGAAGTAATCAACCATTAATAATATTCAAAAGAAGAATCTACACCTACTCAAATAAACACCTCACCTATTTTAAGTATCTTTAAGGTGCAATTAATGTTTTTCCTTAAATAAGGGTTTGTTATGTTGATTATCAATAAATAAAAATGCATAAAGTTGTGATTTAAAGATAAAAAAATAAAAACTGACTGATTATAATAACGTTTTCTTTATTTTTCCCTCAAAACATAATTCTTGCAAGGAAGTTTCGGTTTCGGTCGTAAAAATCAGTTTCGGTCGGACACAAGACCATAATGTAGGAATTTGGTTTTCTATGTCACTGAAAACACTTTTTTCTATATGGTACAAACTTTCTGGGGACACTGTATAATACAGTTCGTCCTTCCTTTTCAAAAGAGTGATCAGTAGAGAAACAAAAAAATGCAGCCAGTGAATGCAAACTTCATTAAAAATAAAATGAACCTCTTTCAACAAGACAACAAATCGACTTAAAAATGGCATACGTCAAAAAGAAAATCCGGATGATTAATTCTCAGGAAAATCCAAACATTTGCTACGTTTATAACCACTTGTAGACTAAGGAAAGAATTAAAACTAAATTGACGTCATATGCTTTATATTCCGTGTAAACTACTGGCTGTGATTCCAAATAAAGAACCGCAAACAGGATTTCAAGTTTCCAGTGCTCGTAGGATTGATAATCGTTCGTTTACTCTGCGGTACAGGGGATTCTAAAAGCCCCCACATTTGTCTTGAAGTAGAATAGGAGGCTCGGGCTTAAGTGAGGATTTTTTTGCATTCAATTTTCAAAGTATTCAATATTGGGTAAAAATATTTCAAATGCTTCCTTAGGTTTCATAGAAAAAGTATATTATTCTACTTGCGATAAATGGCCATTACCCGCTCGATATGGTCGTTACTCATTGAAAAAATTAATGACATTTCTCTAATTAGAGATATATTCCAAAAATGAATCTTATTTTAAAATATATTACTTTAAAGTCACAGAAAAAGTATAGCTTTCTACTCACGAGAAATTACTCGCTCGCCTTCGGCTGGCTTCGACAAACTTCATTTTTATGAGTAATGGCGCATTTCTCGCTAATTGAATAATATACTTATCAAAGCAGTTCAAATATTTGAAAATATGTTGATTCTGTTTTTTCATCGGCATTCATTTCTTAATACTAGTTAAACTAGTACACACATAACACAGTATAATAATACAACCAGTAGGCTCTATTACCACGTGATCCGCCCGAGTTGCCGGGGACCTTCAACCGCTCTTAGGACGAGATTCTCATACAACGCGTTCAGTGCTGTAGTATCGAAGGATTCGACGGTACCACGGGCATCGGATTAGTTATAATAAACGATCGGAAATTGATATTGTGTTTAGTTTATTAGCTTTAGCTTTGGTTATTATTGTTTTTAGTTTCTGTAGTTGGTTATAAGTAACTTACCACAAAAGCTTCTATAATATCCTTGAATTTCTTTTTTATATGAGCGCACGCCTATGGTAAAAGAACTAAATTGGCTCCGCACTTCGTTTCGAGGTCACCGAGAACTTTGTGAACTTATGAATGAAAGTAGTGGGAGTGGACTTACTGGTTGATTTTTACTATGCACATATAGTTAGACATTTTTGAAGAGACCAGTTCACAAGTTTAAATTCACACAATTTCAGTTCGCCTTCATTGAAAATTATGATTAAGGTGTAATTTGATTTGTAATTACCCAAAAAGCAATTAATGATTTGAGCCAAGTTGCCCAACAAATCCTTTCAATTTTTCCATCGAGGATCCTTATTTCTGAAGTCTTCAAAGAATAGTTCCAAAAAAGAAAAAAATCTGGCTTCAATTTCAATAATAAATAAGGTTTTCAGGCAAACCTTGGAAGAACATTGTAATTAACAAAAGCATCATTCAGAGCAAAATTGCGATAACATTTTTTTCCCAGCCAGGAAACTAAACTATCAATAACCCTATTACCTTTTTTTTCAAAAGATTGTCACCTTTGAAAGAAATTTAAAGAGATGTGTTGTCTGCATACCTGACGCATTTAGTGTCAGCACTTGTACTATTCATGTCATTGCATAAACAGTATGGGTCCCAATTTCGATCCTTGGGGTACAACGACATGTGACACTTGTCTATCGAAAATACATTTTGAGTAACTTTCATTAGGTCTGTGGTTCATTTATATACATCTTCAATAGAATTTGAGATATTTGCAAAAAACGCATACCTCATTTCTTATAACTTTCAACTATTGCTTGAAATCGCAAATTACTCTGTATGAAATTACAAATCGAAACGCAATTTTTCATGAAGGCGCACTGAACTTATGTAAAGTGGCACTTGTGTTGTTAAGAGTTAACAGACATAAATTCAGAATCAAATATAGAAGGAAAATTATTTCTTCTATTTTTTTAGCAGGAAAACCCTTGGCGTTTTTGGTGGTAACCAA